CCATGCTGCCAGGCCGATCACCGGGCGCTAAGACCACAACGTGCTGATGCTATCCATCTCCAACGAGCATCCACCACGGCGGGTGGCTCAGCCGAGGACCTCAGCTGAGACACGCAGGTGAGTAGTAACAGCGCGAGGACGGCGAGCGGGCGAAGGGTTCCCGCTCCACCGCTTTGCCTGCCTCACACTGGAGAAAGCCCTGGGACCAAACAAAACACACTTTTATTACTGAGACAAATCAAACCGTACCTCTCCTACACACCAGAGCAGGTCTGGGTTGTAAAACTGGATTTTCTTGGGGGATCCCATAGCAAACCCCAGAAATGACCCCCCCAGGAGTACGAAAGGAGTTCTAGCATCATGCTGCTGTGGAGCTACACCCCAGCAAGAGGAGATGACAGCGATGACAAATGACACTCGCCCTATAATTACGGCCAGACTCCGATGCAGCGAGTACTGCTGCATTATTAAGAGCAACCAAAAATACTCCCAGCTTAGTCATTAGCTGGCCTGGGCTACACAGCGAGCGGACTGCCGGGGCTGTCTCACCCCTCTGCTTGCAGATGGGAAAAGAGGAGAGACCAAAATGTTTTGCAGCTATTTTTACGCGTCCTTCGTTCTGTGCAGCTGAGGCCCCGGGGTGAGCAGAACACCTCCAGAGCGCCCCGGCTTTGGGCTGCTGACGGGGGGGAAATTGCATTAGGATAATATTAATTGCCTTGGTGTAAGTGTAACAGATTACTCTAAGCCAGCAGAACTGAAGCAAAGCACGAGATCAGAGGAACCCACGGGAGTAGCTTTGCTTCATACCCAAGGTGGGATCTGGGCATCAGCCTTGAAAACTGGCTTCAACGTGAAGGGTGTGAGGAGGAAGGCATGGAGGTAGGGTGGGCTCCGCAAAGCCCAGGCTGAAACCTCGGACGGTGTAACAGCTACCCAGCGGTGCTGCCACAAAGGCTGTGTTTGAAAGCCTGTGGACCAGAAGTCCCCAGAAATGCTGTCTGACATCTTCATTAACGACGTGGACGATGGGGCAGGGGGCACCCTCAGCAAGTTGGCAGGTGACGCCAAAGTGGGAGGAGTGGCTGATGCACCAGAGGGGCATGCTGCCCTCCAGAGGGACCGGGACAGGCTGGAGAAATGGGCCGAGGGAGACCTGGTGAAGTTCGGCGAGGGGAAGGGCCGAGTCCTGCCCCTGGGGAGGAGCAGCCCCGGGCAGCAGGACACGCTGGGGCCACGCGCTCTCAGAGCAAATGCGGCCACCAGCCTCCTGTGCTGCATCAGACAGAGCATCGCCAGCAGGTCAAGGGGCAGATCCTGCCCCTCTGCTCAGCACTGGTGAGACACATCTGGGCGTTGTGTCCCACATTGGGCTCCTCAGTGCAAGAGAGACGTGGACATGCTGGAGCAAGTTCAGCAAAGACTAAGGGCTTGGAGCATCTCTGCAATGAGGAGAGGCTGAGAGAGCTGGGAATGGTTCAGCCTGGAGAGAAGATGGCTCAAGGAGATCTTACCCATGTGGATAAATGCTTGATGGAGAGGGGTAAAGGAGACAGGGCCAGACTCTTCTCCAAGGTGCCAAGTGACAAGAGGCAATGGGCACAAACTGAAATATAGGAAATTCTCCTTAAACATAAGAAAATACTATTTTACTGTGAGGGTGGTTGAACACGGGAAGAGGTTGCTCAGAGAGGTTGTGGAGTCTCCATCCTTGGAGATATTCAAAGCCCAACTAGACATGGCCTGAAGCCGCCTCCTCCCGCTGGTCCTGCTGGACCAGGAGGTTGGAGGAGATGACCTCCAGAGGTGCCTCCAGCCTCGGCGACTCGGTGTGTCCGCGGCTGCGAGCCCCCAGGCAGACCCTGTGCCCGGCCGTGCCGTGCCGTGCTGTGGCTCTGCTCCCCACCCGCCTCCCTGTGACGTGGGATGCGTCCTGATCCTTGCCGAGGTTTTTTGACACCAACTGCAGAGAAGCGCTAGCTGAGAGACAGGAACAACCGTTATGATTTCCTCCGGCAGATCTTCCTAGATCTAATAACCCAGGCAGTGTATTGACTTCTTTATTTAACTGGAGTCATCTTCTCTCCCTTCCGCGCTGCCGTGTTTGCCTCGCAGCTTTTCCAAACACACGTCTACACCGAAAAATACCCCATGAGCATCATTTCTTCTAATTCCTTGAATCCACCCCTCTGATATATTCTGGGTCTGATCCAGCAACATGATCATTTAATTGAGCAATGCTTTTCCCCGTCCCCTTGCAGGGCCGCAGCGTGGCAGGCAGGAGCCGGGCTCCATCCTGGCTCTGGGACTGGGCACGGCGGGGACCAGACGTCCCCCCTGCACCCTGGGAGCATCCAGCCGAAGTGGGGTAGGCATGGGCTGCTCTGCTCCCTGATTGCTTTTACACATTATTTCTGCATGAGCTTTGTCCCAAAACATGACTTTGAATTAAAATCCAAAGGCCCTGGCAATCTCCAAATGGATTTTAAATTATTTTTAGAAGTCAAAATATTCTCCTTTTTTTGTTCACGTCACATGGGTCCTTCCATGTGGGTTTTTAGCTGACCCGTCCCTACTATTTTAGGTTTTGGGGCAGAAAGGTCTCACCGACCGCTCCTGAAGGGATCCCAAGGCCTTGCAGCTGCCGGCTTCTCTACAGACCCCTGCTCTCCAAAAGCCCTTATAAGAAAATCAGTAGAAAGACGAAGTACCAACAGTTTTAGGTTCATATAAAGTGGTTTGGGCTCACTTTAGGTCCCAGCCCCGCAAAGTGCAGAAGCGGCTGCGCCAAAGCCCATCTGTGCTCTTCCCTCCTGAGCTGTCTTCAGGCAAAGTGGCGTTCAGCCGCTAAAAGTTTAGTCGATAACTCCTACTTTTCCCTTTTTTTTCTGTACACTTGACAAGAGATACTACACGGACACTACATTTTGGGTCTTCTGGTTTAATTTATTCTATAGATTATGAAGAGAAACTTAAAGCAAAGTTTCGTCAAGCAGTTCAAGAAGACAAACGCAAAGTTTCATCATCCCTGGGAGTTATTTCTTGTTAAACTTCTTGTCTGGTGACCTGGACTCACAAATTCCAGGGTGATTTGTTTGTTTTCTCTATTTCATTAATAAAAGGTGATACAATAATGCTTTTTTTGTTGCATTAGAGACATTCACCTTTCAAAAAACTTGCTGTAGCAATGAGTGTTGCACTGAAATGCTATCAGTGTCCAGGCAGGCGGCCACGGGCTCTGCCTGAGCTCGCCCGCAGAAGAGGGATTTTTCCATCGGATTTAAATTTTGCAGCTCAAATTAATCCCCACAGCTGTTTCTTTTCCTGTTATTCGAGTGATTCCTTTGTATTGTTTGGCTGCCATGGAAAAAACGGTGTCACTCACCGAGAGACTGTTCACCCCCCTGCCAAAATCCCAGTCACTACATCACTGCCCCGAGCAAAGTTTCCCACTTGCAGGCACCCAAGCCAAGAATTTAGAGCAATCCGTGGGAAGAGCAGGGACAGGATGGAATGGGACAGGGTAAACAAGTGATTCACGGTAACCTCCTGGCC